AATGAGCTGAATGTTTGATAAACAAGCAGCTTCAATAGCACCAATGTAAAGTAGCTAAAGTGCAATAAAATGTCTTAAAAAAAAAAGAGTAAATAGCGAAAACTGAGAAAACAAATTTAAAAACTTGTTCTGGGATTTTACATAAATGATGTGAAGGTGTTGGTGCACCGTCAACAGCCATGTTTACGTTGTGATTCATATCATCGTCTGAACGTTGTGAGCTGTTTTTCTTCTGTGCGTTTTTCAGCTTCTTTCTCGTCCCACAGTTTTCAGCTTTTTCAACAAATCATATATCAAAATGTTCAGCTCGTTCAGGACATGATTTTTGGTATTGGTGCAACTTTAGCTTTTTGAAATATTTAGCTTTTTCTGTCATTTTATTCTCATAGAAAATGAATTGAGCTCATTTTACCTCCTTCAACTCTTTAGATCCGTTTACAACTTTTTACTGCTCCTTTCACTTTTTGTTCTGCTTCAGCTTCTTTCAGCTTCCTTCTGCAAACTTTTTTCAGCTACTTTCAGCTGTTTTTCAGCTGTTTTGTGCTCCTTTCAGATTCTTTCTGCTAACTAAAACATTTTTGAGTTTCTTCTAACTTCTTTCTGCTCCTTTCAGCTTATTTCTGCAAGTTTCAGTTTTTTGTGCTATTTCACCTACAATTTAGCTGTTTTATGCTTATTTTAGCTTTTTCAGCTAATTCCACATTGTTTGCATTAATTTAAGTTTTTTCAGCGTAACTGAACAACTTTGTGCTCTCTCCACTTCCTTCTGATCGTTTAAACTTATTTCTTACTTTTCAGCTAATTTAAGCTTTTTTTTTTTGCTGATTTCCTAATCTTTGCGCTAATTTCTGATTATTTAAACCTAATTCAGCAAAAATGTGTTCTTTCTGCTTTCTTCTGCTAACTTAGGCTTGCTCTTCTATTTCAGCTACATGTTTTAGCTAATTTTAGCTGTTTTTCAGCAAGTTCTTCTGCATTAAGCGTTCACACTGCATGTTTGCAGGAAATCCATTTTCTCCAGTTTGTTTTTTATTTCTCAACTCTTCTTTTTTCACCCGTTTTGTCCAAACTCTCATTTCTGTCTCTGAAACGTTTGTTTTAGTTTTGATCAGATCCGTTCATCGCTGAACGATGGGTCAGTGCCAAACGTCAGCTTCACACCTTCGTCTCACAACCTTCCTGACCCCCCCCCCCGCCTTTCCCCCACCGCCTCAAGCTGTCTCTTGCATTGGTTCGGGCCTCCGTGCGCTCTGAAAGACAACAACAGAGGGTGGAAGACGCTAATCTCCGCAGGCTTTGTGTGTTTTTCTCTGCCTTTCACGACTGAAGCGCCATTTTCTTTCAAACGAGAAGCAAAATGCTTTCATTCA